TCAACAATAAAAAATAAGAAATCAAAAGATAAAAGACATTAAAATAAATAAGTAAAAAATTAAAATTAAAAATAATAAAATAATATAAAAAATATAATAATTTTTGATCTGTAACCTACATAGGCTTCCGTGAAGTGTTTCCGTAAGTCATTGCGGATAATTATTATCAGCTATCCATGATACCATAGTTTATTCTGGATTTTTACTAAACGTTTAAATGTAGTAAACAATTTTTAATTTTGAAATTAACGGTGAAGTGCCAGAAGTACATACTAAACAGTCCAAAAGTAAAGAAACAGAATTTCCCGAGGTGGGATTCAAATCCAGAATCAATGGTTTTGGAGTCTGATGCTTTATCCATTTGGCCACTGGGGTGGTATGGTTACCATGATTAACACGTTGGAGATGTTAGGGGTGTTGCTATCTCCCAGACGTGGAGGGATGGTCACGTGATACAGTTGACGTATACTTCAAAACTTAACAGTAACCATAACACTAAATATCTATATATCGGATCTCTATATATAGGGGTGTCATCCACAAAAATTAATCTATGGTGGGGGGACAGATATCATGATGCAAAACCCCTAACCCTAACCCTAACCCTAACCCTAACCCAAACCCTAACCCTGATCCTAACCCTAATCCTAACACTAGTGCTGCCACGTTTCGGTACTGTCCCTCCATGGGGTAATGCTATCCCCCGGGCGTGGAGGGAGGTGACCGCAACGTGGCAGCACTAGTGTTAGGATAGTGTTAGGATAAGGGTTAGGGTCAGGGTTAGGGTTAGGGTTAGGGTTAGGATTAGGGTTAGGGTTAGGGTTTTTGTATCATGATATCTGTCCCCACACCATAGATTAATTTTTGTGGATCACAATGCCTATATATAGCGCGGCGAGATACTTATATTTAGTGGCAGGTTTAGTGTTGGCGGTGTTGGAGTGAGGGTTACCGTTAGGGTTAACGTTTTGAACGTCATCGTCAACGTTATCACGTGACCTCCCTCCACGCCCGGGGGATAGCAACACCCCCCTCCATGCCCGGGGGATAGCAACACCCAGATGTTAGGCTGTACGCACCGCCATCTATTGACGAATATAATTTTAATTTTAAATTTTTTAACTTTTTTAAATTCCAGCCGTCTCCCAGACGTGGTGATTCTGAATATATCTTCAGTTTTCTGCTAGGCTACGTAGTTCTCTAGTTATGCGCGAACAGACTAATTTGGCTGAACAACTTTATATATATAGATATTAGTTCCAGAAATGTTACTCATGAAACGTACTGTGGTGATGACCGAGAACAGCGTGCAAAAATGAATTCAGTGTAGTAAGAAATTGTTAGAGTCAAAATTATAAAACTCTTGGAAGAGTAAGGATTTTTTTTAAATATTTGACTTTGTAGAAGAGGAACAAGCAAAGCTAGAAGCTGAGCTGGAGCAACAGTTTGAAGAAGGTAGAGAACACAGAGTTTTGGAGAGGAAGACACATTACCACGTTGGACTTGGATTCCATGAAAATGAGAAGTCAAAGGATGGTAAAAGTGAAATAGTTACTGAGTGTTAAAAAGATTGTAATATGCATTCAGTGTGCACAAAATTTACCAATGTGCATTGCTATCAATCGGGGTTTAATTTTCCATCTCATGCAATAATAGTGCTTTGGTTCGTTTTTTGGATGGTTCAATACACGTGCGATCATAGCCTTGGTAAAATAGATATAACAACGATAACTCGCTGTCGAATTTTTTTAGCATTTAATTTTTGTAGTTCTGTTGGAACACTTATTTTATATGTAAGAGAGGAGTAGAAAGAATTTTTATGAACAGCTGCAATGACTTATTTTATAGAATAATTGAATTTTTTTCTTCTAATATATGGGTTGGTTATTCTAGAAACCATCCCAGAAGGTGATACCCCAAAGGGCAAAGATGTTGATCCTCCTGCTGTGACAGATGAGAGTGATGCAAAGCCATCCACAACAGAAAAGACACCAGAAAAAGATACAATGGCGAAGCCAACATTGACATTTGTGAAAAGTAGTGAAACCTCATGATGAAATTAATATGATTCTCTGTCTGTCTCCACCCCGAGTTTTTGTACATCTTGAAATAAGGTAAACAATATATCTGTGAATAAACTGTGTAGGTCATTGCCATTAATCTTTAATACCAGCTAAGTTTATATTTCTATAGGATGGTCAGATTTACAATTGTCATATCTACCAATCTCACGTAAGGTATACATACATACATTCATTCATGTGCAACTATATGTAGAATAAACGTTAGTATGTACAGATTTATCTGCATGAGTGTCGAGTAGATTGTCACTTGAAATGATATCATCATCACATCAGGTTAGCAACATGCATTAATGATATGCACCATATGTGAGACAGGAGTTATTGAAACCAACTTTTGAGTCGTAGAGCTGGTGAAATTAGTTATGATTTATTTCTACATTCCTATCCTAATAGGAAAATGTCTAAGTGAAGGCAAATAGCGGAAGGAACGGTAATTTATTGTTAGATAACTAGCAGATCTAATCATATAATGCAAAGTGAATTTGGCCACTCATCGGATCCCCACTGACAGCGATTGCCACAAAATTATATTACAAGATATAGACATCAGTCGAGAGATGTCTAGCTGTAGCAGTCTGGTTATTTCTGTATGATACCAAGTTAAGAAGCTATGTGTAGCAAAACTCCCATAATGCATGGATGTATGTACCTTTCTTTTAATAAAACGTTTATATTTAATTTCTGCTCTATATCGTATATCATGAATATATGTATATGGTTATGTAATATGTATATGTATATAAATGAATGTATATAATATATGGTACGTGGTTCCTGCTAATAATTGTTAAAAATTATTAGTAAGTGCTCGCAAATACACCAATGGCTATTATGAAAATTCATCGCCTCTCTGCCAAATCTGCAATTTATAGGACTCCCCTAATATTTGTTATTTTGCCCAATACATTTTGACTGTTTCCTCATAAGATGCCAATACAACCTATAAAATCCCTACGAGTGACAGCTTTTATTGGAATCGTCATCGTACGTCAACGTCACAACTGTTGCCATCGCCACTACGATCGCTGCGATCTTTTGTAATTCAGTGTTAGGGCCCCCACAGAAGCTCACATTGTGAAAGGGGCCTGATCTAATGGATTGTTGAATGCTGACGTGTCCTATCAACAGCAATGGCAGCGCACAGAAGTTGGCTGCAATTTTTGTTATTCTTCATTTGTTTATCATATAATTCAGGAAGTACGCAATTACCGAAGTTGAGAGCATGTATAGACACAGATTGTAACGGTAAGATTAACGATTCATAAGTTAAATTATGTGTGGTTTAGCATGTCAAGACTATGATTAAGATAGGCCTAGAGCATAGTTATGCGTTTTTGGAATATTAATTATTATTGGCATTCTGCCATTCATTTTGATTTTATCTATGACTATGCCAATTATAGTCTTGATGTTATTGAGTTTATACCCATGGTGCTACAAACATTTTTTTCCCATTTGCCCGGTCGGGCAAGTGGGTTACGAAACTGGTTGCCAGAAGGCAAAAGTTACTTGCCCGAAAAACAAAGAAATACATGTACATACGATTTTTTCTATTACTATTAGTATGAATTTAAATGGTTTCAAGACTAAGAGTAAGAGCCCGGTTCAAAGGTAGTCACGATACAAGAAACAGCACACAAAACTTGATTCCCTTTAAGCACCAAACAGGTATAAACACTTTATGAAAAAAAATATTGCTGAAAGGCAAAGGCAATGAAAAGCCTGAAAAGGCCATATATTATATAGCATGTATGATGTAGTACTATGCCAATACAAACATCACCTCACTCTACTCAACATCACAGCATAAAAAAGAAATGCCAAATGGTACACTTTAGATGAGAGCCATGAGTGCAGGCCTGCATGAGCCTCCACAACCAGGTGCCTTCACAACCACGGGCCTTCACATATTTTATTTTAAAAAATTGTAAGGAAAAATGTAGGCTGACCTGAACGACACGCACGTATCAATCAAAACCATATTGCACGCATTTTACGTCATACTTACGCAAGCCATATTGTAATATATATTATATTATAACAAAATATATTCATGCTATAACACAGCACACAGTGTTTTAATTTTTTTATTTTTTTAAGTGTCAGTTTATTATGAAAAACCCACCACTCTCACAATAAATTAATAAAATATGTTCAAGTTTATTTAGGTCTGGATCGTAAGCGCAGAGAATATAGTGGTGCATGCATGCAGATATAATAGACTGACAGTGCAGTATACAGTGTATCTGTTTTTGTGTACTTCAGCAAAGAAAATCCTCGTTCACAGGCTGCAGTAGAGGGGCAAACATTTGATGTAGCTGATCACGTAATGACAATGCCTGGCTTGGGGGCTGGGTTTACATGTTGCTGTGTGCATGTTGCGTACAAAGTATAACTGTATGCATTGATTGTTCCATTCGCATTGTGTTTTTTTCATTGAAATCTCGTCGCAGCAACGCAGCTTCTGTGCAAAACAATGCAAGGGACGGGTGGAAACAGAAAAATATCATTAGTCTACTGTCTAGACATTCAATAAAAAAAACTTGCAATTTCAAGCTATTTGCCCGGGGGCGAATTTTGGTTGCCCAGGGCCATCGGGCAAGCGGGTTTGTCGCGCCCTGTTATACCCAGTCGAATAATTTTCTCTATATCCATGTACCTTAGTGCAACTGTGATCACTGTGTACTTTCCAGTATTCGACTGTATCCATTCAGGAAGAGAATATCAAATTATATACTACGTACAAAGAAATACACAATGTGAATGTCATGTACATGCAAATTATAATCATAATGGTATTAATGCTTATAATAGTTTATAAAAACCTCCATCATGTTGAATTTATATTTAATATGCTATAGTTAGTTGGTAGTAAAACCAAGTTGACTAGAAAGCGATGTACGTTCTTTTTGATGACCTCTCATTGTCAACAAGTACGGTGGCTAAAATATTAAACAATGCATTTTTTGACAGTCTAAAATTTATCTAAAAAATTATCCACTTTTTTTAAATGACTTGAGCATCTGGGTGCTGACACATGTTGTCCGTTAGACACCTTCAGGCTTGTTTTAATATGTCAATAAAGTTATGGTGAAAATGCCTTTTATAATCTCCCTTGGAAATTCTGTGAGCAAGGTAAAACAGTATCTAGGCTTCTTGTCGCGATATGCTCAGCTAATATTGATACCAGTATGTAATTAAAGTAAGGTACCGTAAATATTTAAAGTCTGCTTTATAGGTTAGATTAGTTTCTACTTATATACAGTTCATGTGCATTCAATTTGTTCTTCAAACCCTTTCTCCATTATTCTGTTCGGTATTGGGACAATATTTTAAACTGGTAAACTGAGACTATTCTTATTTCAAGCTTTAATATTTCTTGATTTTTGTATTTTCTTCATTCCGGTTTGTTAGCGCATTCTTGCCATTGTACTTTCCCCCAATAGTCCTACTTATAGCAAGTTCATTTAAAATGCAAGTGACTGATACTTTCTACCTTCCAGTTAAACGTTTATGTATGAGTTGAACAGTTCACAGGTGTAAATCTCTTCGCTAAGTTTTAAACACCTGAAAATTTACAATTGCATGTTATAGGCCTTTTATCCCTCGGGTCAGCCATGGTCATGTTTAAGTCGCCTGATGATCGACTCCTGAGCTTTGATGAACATGACACCATTGACATTCTAGCAAGGAGTGATGGTAACTTCTGGGAAGGCCAGGTATTGCAATATGTGTTTACCACTTAGCTGAAGTTGCTAGTAAAGCACAGTATCTATTACTTGTAATGCATATATACAATAATTATTGCTATATTCTGTCTTTCTCCTATTAATCTGATATTACAAATGTTGGTATAGGCCTCTGTATTATGGATGCCTGCAAAAAGTGCAAACATCTATTTTTTGATGCTTGTGTTTTGGTATACGTTCTTTGTAGCATATGGATAAGATATAGTAAAGTATTTCATTTGTTCTGTTTTTGCTAAAAAAAAATTATAAAACACATTCCACAGAATTATGAATTTTAAATTTTCCATGCAATAGCTAATATTAATTGTAGAAACTTCATAAATGTTTGGTAATCATAATGTATTAATTATGAATGTGAACAATTATTTAAATTTTTTTTTCATTTAACAGGTGAATGGAAGAAGAGGGTATTTTGACAAAAATTTGGTTCAAGAAACAACCCCTCTTTACACTGATGACCTAAAAGCAGTTAAGACAGAGGTATAAAACCTTTAGATGCAATATATGGTACATGCAATTATAACTATTATATATATATATATCTTGTATATATATAATGCAAGGCAGATAATATTTATACTAATTTAACAATAACACTATTTCATAGGGCGATCTTGAAATATCCAAGGAAGTGGTAGATGCAATTGAAAAGGCGAAAACAGAAATGAAAGGTAAAACAATCATATTCCTACACATTATAATTTCTGTGCCAACCTATAGTAACAATATATAGCATGCAGGGTATTAATGCTAATGTGAAAGTAGTCACGTCGCATTATTGTTACTTATTTGTTTTTTTCTGTTTGACATGGTACTTCTGGTGCAGAGATACAATTATAATGCTCAGAAGCATGTAGCAGGATGTTAGGTATGCTTCTCCAGGCTTGCGTCTATCACTAGGTTCCTTGTTTTACAGAGGTGGCTGGCAGACCTAATGAAATTGATGGTGTTAATAGCAATGGGCCTGACACCAACTTTCGTATGGGGGTGGCGGATGCACATGGTGATGGTGATAGTTATGGGAATGGTAATTCCTTGCTTGGGTCACTGAGCCGAATTATCCCTAAGCAATTTCGATCGCAAGTGAAAAAAGAAGCAGAAGATAATGTTGATGGTATGTTCTTTTAGTGTTCCCATATTTTGATTGTTTTATACTAATTTGAATTCAGTAAAATGTGTATGAAATGTGAATTTTACATTAGCACAGTCTGTTATATGTTACACCAATAGCAAAGTCAGTTAAGTACATATGAAGTGGAATCTTCGAAATACTGTTATGATTCTTTTAGATATAAATGCGCATATTGAGAAGACTATGAGAAAAAGAATGGTAGGAGACAAACCCAACAAAGAAGCTGAACAGGATGAAAACAATGATGGCAATGAAATGGAGGAAGACATAGAAATAAATAAAGAACTTGGTAAGATACACGATAAGAAAGATACAGCCGCAGATGAGAAAAATGACGAAAAGACTGAAACTGAAGAAGAAGGAGATGAAGAAGAAGAAGAAGAAGAAGTAGAGGAAGAAGAAGAAGAAGATGAAGAAGAAGAAGAAGAAGAAGAAGAAGAAGAAGAAGAAGAAGAAGAAGAAGAAGAAGAAGAAGAAGAAGAAGAAGGAGAAGAAGAAGCAGAAGAAGAAGATGATGAAGACAAAAGAGCAGAAGAGGAGGAAGACAATGACAAAGAAGAAGAAGGATTTAGTTTTGAAGATGAGATAGAGGTGGAGGGGGATAAGGGGACAGTAAAAGAGGAAAATGACAACGAAAATCATGCAGGAGAGAAAAAGGAACATGGTAATGAAGTAGATGAGGAAGGAGAGGAAAGAGGAGATGGCGAAGAAGATAATGTGCAGGATGGAGATATTGACGAGGCTGAAGCAGACATCCCTCTCAATGCAGAAGATTCAACTGCTGGGCAGGAAAGCGATGAAGTCTTAAAAGTAGAACCAGTAGCCCACTTTAGCAGAAGTAGCGATTCATTTGACACTAATGATCCGCTCTCTGACATTGGAGTGACCTGGCCAGATAATCCTCGTGCGGGTGAAAAGAAGGATAATCTCATGATTAAACCTGGAGCAGACATTACAGAGGAAAACGACCAGCTTGAGGACAGTGACGACAAGAGAGTGCACATAGACATGGTAGACACCAGTAAGGGAGAAGGAGAGAGTGGAGACAGGAATGATATCGCTGGAAAAGGTTTTATAGAGACTGAAGTTCATAGCAAGGGTGCAGGTGAGGATGCTGAGAATCAGGAAACTGTGGGGACCATTGCACTCGAGTTGGATTCCCATGAAAGTAATGAAGAACAGGATCCTGTAAAGGAGAGCAGAGACAATGAAGCTGTTGAAACACTTGACCAAGAAGATTCTTCTCTTGAGCATGTGGTGAAGTCATATGCAGAAGAGCAACAGGATCTATTGTCAGAACACAGTGACAGCAACACCGATATGGCAAAAGATGCAAGCTTGGCAGAAGAGAGAGAGAAGCAAGCTGAAGACCAGATGAAAGGCCAGGCAAAGGAGACCCTTATCCAGGAAGCATCAGCAGAGGTAGATGCTGACCTGCAAGTGAGAGGAAATGAAGCCATTGGTAGCAGTTATGGGGAGGAGGAACAGAAAACCAGGCCAGGGAAGCAGAGTGGGAGCGAAGAGGCAGAGACCAGTGTAAATGAGAGTGACGAGAATACAGAGCAGGTGAGCGCTAGGAGTGATGGGAGTTCAGCAGAGGAGAAAGTAAGTGAAAATGAAGCTAACATGGAGAAAGGTCTAGGTTCAGAGAATACCCTGCCCAAAATTGAGGAAGAGGGGATCCCAAGAGAAAATGGAGGCAAAGACATGGAGGAGCCAGCAAGTGGGGGCCAAGCACCAGAAGAAACGAGTTCAATCTCTGTAGCAGCTGATGACAAAGAGACAGATAGGCAACCTAGTGAAGCGACACAGGATGAAGAGAATGCTAGGCAACTGCATGGTGGCACTAGCGAGGTTGGTACTAGCGGCAGAGATGTTAATGCAGTGCCTGATGGTGGAGAGTCTCGTGTAGCAGCTGAACCTTATAACATAGAAGATCGCACCCAGCAGGCATCGCAAACACCTGAGCAAAACATTGTCATTGATCCTGAGAAGATTGTGCCAATCAAACCCGCCAGCATAGTCTTGAAGAAGGATGGAAAGCCCGTGACGCTGATCTTCGGACCTGACAACCTGGCACCGGCGCAAGTCGTAATCGACGGATCGACGCTTCAAGTCGAGGACGGCGTCAATCCTTTCATCGAGTTTGGTCTCAGTCAGGACGACGTAAGAACCGAGCAGAAGGACGTCTTGTCCAGCTACCACGCCGAGGAGACGCGCGCGCCCGAGGGAGCGACACCGATGCTGACGGACGCGCCGGTCACGACGGCCGCTCACGACGCAGCGATGCACGGCACCATCCTGCCCAGCGAGGTGATGGAGAGAGGCGGTCCGTATCGCACGTTCCGCGGCGAGCAAGCGCCGGATGCTGGCATCCTGAGGGGCTTCCACCCTCACGGCAGTCACCAGCAGCACGGGGCGCCGCGGTTCCCCGAAGCCGACGTTTGGGGAGGCGACCGCCGCTACGAGGATCCCGACGAATTCGCGCGCTACAGAGACCAGTACTCGGTGGAGCGCGACCCGTCGAACCTCCGACGCGGTTTCCCGGGTCCGTACGTCGGCGGCCAGGGTCAGTTTCCGAGCGGATACGACGGCCACCACGGGCAGGTACACGACCAGTTCCCCCAGCAGCACGGTTCGCAGTTCGGAAACTACCCCCCGCAGCAACTGCACCAGCAGCAACTGCACCAGCAGCAACCGCACCCGCGATTCCCTGGTCAGTATGCTCCACCGCCACCAGGTTACGACTCAAACGGCCTCCCGCTACAGCTCGGGCCTAACTTCAACCACCCGGATCCACGGTACAGAGTGCCGCAGCAAGGAGGCTCGATGTGGCAAGGTGTATCGACGGGGCAACACTCGCAGCAACGTCACGAGCGTGCGCAACATGGAGTTCCGCCATATCCGACGGCGCCACGGAGTGAGCAGTTGCCGCGAAGAGGAGAGCCGCCACAGCATGTTGAGCAGCGAGCTGAACGGCTGGTACCTGCTGCTTCAGATCTCTCGCAGGAGGATGCACGTCAGCCTGCTGAACCAAGGCTGACGGCCGCACTGTTGAAACGCTCCGCAGACAGGACTAGACAGGACAAGACTGCAGAGGGCGCCGGCGTGCCGTCGGCGGAGAAACAGGACGAGCTGGCTACGCTGAAGAAACAAGCACAGGACGAGGAGCTCGGACATGACGTGCGCGACCACGGCGATCCGCTTCTCACCCCGACGGAGTCATTACAGCAGAGGTCCATGACAGAGGAGTCGGGGGAAGTTGCCGATAATGAGCTAGTTGAGCCTGGTGCGAAGGAAGCAGTGCCGGACATTGTCTATGCAAAGAACCTGAACTCGCTGGGCGCAGGTGTCCAGATTTCCACCGACCACGTCCCTAAGCCGGAGTCGACCTTTGTGAAGACGGCTGCGTACAACAGCAGACGTCTGAACGGTCTGAACGCAGAGACACCGCTCCCGGATGTTGTCCCGGGTACAGTGCTCCAGCCTCCCACTCCAGCATCGGCAGAGACGGCGAGCAAACATGAGTGGGTTGAGCACATGACGCTGACGCTTACAGAGTGGGTAGTTGCTGCGAGGTTGGCGTGGGACCCGGTGAAGAGCAAGCATTTGCAGCTGACAACAATGGTACTCCAGCCCTGCGTTGAAATGGTAAGTCACTCAGAAACCAACATTCTCTCTGGGGCTGTTGTGGCATACTCGTCGAAAAAATCTTTTGTGACACCTAGACTAGAATATAAATGTGACAGTAATGATGTGTGAACATAAACACTAGCTTATAGTCAGTTATCAGGAAGTGAGTGGCGGAATTTAGAAAATTCTAGAAACCTGGCTTGTAATTGTGTGTTCAATATGCAACCTGATGTATCTTGTAAATCTTCTGATTCATGAGTGAGTGTGACGACTAAGCAAACATCATGTGCCTTACAGCTTCCTACTGAGTACCTCCATATCTGGCACGAGTATGACCTGTACGACCGCTCGCGTCGTCTGCAGCTGGCAGCTCTTATTGCTCTGCTGGTAGTTTCCCTGATCATATCCAAGATGAAACGGAAAGCCATAAAGATGGGAATGAAGATGGTGACCAAGGCAGAGTGGAGCAGTCTGCATAGGCAGGCAGATATGGTCAACTGGATGGAGAATCTTTATCTTGAGTACATGCAAATGGTATGGTTCTTCACCTGATCGCGCGGAAACTATTGATGTAGGTACACGGAGAGGTGTTTATCTACATACTGATTTTAACATCTTTTGTCGACAAAAACGGAAGTAATCGATTTTTAGACGGAAAAGCAAGTTTGATATTTTACAGTTGTTCTGCTCACTGTGCATGCAGTAGTGGATAACACACTTGTCCCTGTCTGCGTGTAAATCTCAGTGGACGACGCAGTTTGCACAGGTTAGCGAATCGCACACGTGCTGGTCATTCACCCAATCCTCCTCCTGTTTTCCAGGCGGAGGACTTGAAGAAGAAGGTCATACAGAAGGATGAGGTGGTCGGAGAGTTGGAACGCGAGCGCGAGGACGCGCGCGAGCAGAGTCTGGAGATGGGGAAGGTCAACCGCCGACTGGAGGAGAGGCTGGCACAGATGGTGAGTGTGCTGGGAGAGCGCAGCAAGGGTCTCGACGCAAAGTCGGTGGAGATTGAGACACTCCAGACAGAGCTCCAGGAGAGGAACGCCACAGTGGTCGTGCTGGAAGAGAGAGTGACCTCACTCACAACGAGTCTAGAGGAGGCGGGTAGCTTGACCAAGGAGAACGAGGGAAGGGCGGGTGAGTGCTGGTGTTCTGTCGCAATGTTTACTATTTTGTGTATGTGTATTGTGTATCTATGCACTTTATCTCTCTTTATCTCTCTCTCTTTCTCTGTCTCTCTCTCTCTCTCCCTTACTCTCTCTTTATCTCTCTCTCTCTCTCTCTCTGTCTCTCTCTCTCTCTCCCTTACTCTCTCTCTCCCTCTCCCTCTCTCTCTCTCTCTCTTAATACATTTTACTAATTTAAGATTTGTGGTGCTCCGTGCTGAATGCACATATAAATTTAATCATGTGTTGCAAGAATTTTGTTTCGAACGCAATGTGAGCGGACACGCGGAAAGATTTATCTCTCTTTATCTCTCTCTCTTTCTCTGTCTCTCTCTCTCTCTCCCTTTCTCTCTCTCTCTCTCTCTCTCTCTCTCTCTCTCTCTCTCTCTCTCTCTCTCTCTCTTCCTCTTTCTCTCTCTCTCTTAATACATTTTACTAATTTAAGATTTGTGGTGCTCCGTGCTGAATGCACATATAAATTTAATCATGTGTCGCAAGAATTTTGTTTCGAACGCAATGTGAGCGGACACGCGGAAAGATTTCCATCAGCCAAAGTGCACGCTGTGTTTTAATTGAACGCCATTCGCTGTAGTCGAGACTGAGGACGAGGTGAAGTTGCTGAAGGCTAGCAGGGATCAGCTGCTGGAGGAAGCGCGAAGCTGGAACGAGAGCGTGCAACAACTGACGGAGCAGACAGAGAAACGCAAGCAGAGTCTCACAGCTCTGAAGAAAAGCGCCGCCGAGAAGGATAAAGAGATAGAGGTCAGTGTAGAGATTGAGTAAAGTGAAGGTTAAATGACGTGCATGCCAGCTTGCAGGTTAGGGATGGGCATGGGGAGAGCTAGAGTAAGATGACTATTATAAGGGGACTAGAAATAGGGTAGGTGCTGGGTGAGGGAGCAGGGTGAGTTTAGTGTAGAAATATGGTGAGTGCAGGGTGATGTCAGTGTTCGAACAATGCTAGAGCAGGGTGATACACTGTCAACCTCAGTGTGAGTGGACTAGGGAGACGCCAGCATGTGAGACAGGTTTTGTTTTGGTGTATAGATTATAGGTTATAGATAATATAAAATAGAGTTTTTTTTCGTGCAGGCTTGTTATCAGGGAGGCATGTAGGCAACTAGAGCCAATAGGGAGCCATAGCTATAAAAAGCAAATAAATTATGTAAGCATTAGTGCTGGATGTTTAAGATAATTTATCTCACCGGCTGACCATTGCAGTTTTTATTTCATTATCAGGAGTTGAAGGAGTGCCTTTCCCAACTACAAGTATTAGAGAACAAGATGACAGCAGATGGAACTGACGGCAGTGGAGAAGGAGAGGTAGTAGATTCCCTTAGAGAGCAGGTGAAAAACATGGCGGATGTGAACAGGATGCATGTGATTGTGGAGCAAGCCCAGGCCGAGAAGAAAGTCATGTTTGCTGACCTTGAGGCAGAAAAAAAGGCAAGACTAGATTTTGAAGGTATGTATGGCATTTCAGAAGAAACATCTGCACTTGGCATCTAAATGGAACGAAACGATACATGTGCATTTCGTAGGCATCGTGTTATAGTTGCCTATATTCGGCATTCAACCAAAATGATATTCACTTGCGCATTTCTTTGGCGTAGTGTTATAGTTGCCTGTAGTCAGCATATCGAAAGGAGCACTCGATATTTACCGTGCAGTTCTTATGTCGGTTGCTATGGTCTTCTGCGCTCTGCATACACAATTAGCATGTACATTTTGCAGACAAGCTGGCTGAGAATGAGTATGAGATGCAAGCATTGCGCGAGAGCCACTCCAAGGCCGAGGAGCAAATGAACGACGCAATGACAAAGCTTGATATTCTCACCAACTACTTCAAGGAGAAAGAAGCCACCTTGCAGAAGGAACTAGGCATGCAGGAGGCTCTGAAACTGGTGAGAACTAGTCAGTAGTGGACGTGGTAGATGTGAGAGAGGTGTTCATGTGGGTACTGCATGTGTATGTGCACTTGTACATGTGAACATGTGAGCGTGTGCAGGCGAGCGAGCGCGCGTGTGTACATATTTGTTTGCATGCTTTTGCATGTGATTTCTTGAGTTCCAGCATCCTAATGTTTTTAAAACGATGCTGTATATTTGATCTTCATTCTCCATAGATTCCCCTGCAGTCAATACAGTGTTTTATACTTGGTTAATTGTTGTGTTGCGTCTTGGCCTGCAGCAACATGTGTCGAGGCTCGAGGAGACTGGTAAGGTGAACGAGCTGAATGAGGCACAGTTGGAGAGCACGAGGAAGCAGATGGTCGACCTCACACGCGAGATCGCTGAGATTGAGAAGTCTTACAAGGCGCAGCTAACACAGCAGGAGAAGAAGGCACACGAGAACTGGGTAAGAGCAGACGCTGCTTAGTGAAACTAAGCTACATTAAGAGACAGCTTTAGTGAAACTACTGTGTAAAGATAGTTAACAAGCCACTATTTTACTTACATAAGTAATATTAGTGTTGTGTGTTTGGTTGCTACAAGTTTTATGTTATGTCAAGAGTACATAAAGTATTATATTTTTGTATGGATTATTGTATTTTCATCTTTCTACACTTGCTCTACAGTACATAGGTTAGTCCAAACAGCCTTTACTTTGTTCTAAATTGAAGTATCGGCTTTCAAGTTATCAAGGGCCGATTAACACTGCATGAGGCGGGGTGAGATTGTTAATGGGCTCTTGATATTAACGACATACAGTCGTTAATACAGTGGTCTCCGCTTTATCTGGCCTCGTATAAATGGACACATTTCTCAAACAACATGTGTCTTTAAAAAACAATCCCTTTACACGTTGTTATGTGTTCACTGCTGTTACATCGGTACATTGTCATAGTTATCGACCTGTCCCGATAAACCGAAGTCCACTGTATTATATCCATGTGGGATAGCGCACGTGTGTGATAGCACAGCAATGTCTAACTCATGGTATGTATGTTCTTGCAGCTTGCAGCGAGGAGGGCAGAGCGCGAGCTGGTGGAGGTGAAGAATGAGGCAGCACTGCTTCGAGCAAGACTCACAGCAATGGAGATTCGCAGGGTGGAGAGCGAGTCTCTACTGAAGCCTGTATCATCGTCAGGTGGGTGTGTGCGTGTGTGCGTGCGTACGTGTGTTTTTCACGTTTAACGACAGCCGCTCACATTCATCTCTCACTCTCCTGTGTTTGCCGTTCGTAATTGTAATAGTGTCTGCTTAATTGAAGGCAAGGCCACAATTAAAAAAATCTTTGTTTTCCCTCACCCGACCCAGGCTCAAAAGTTTGGGTAGGTAAATTAAAATTTAAAACTTAAATATTTTTTTGAGGTTTTTTTTTTACAAATTCAGTATGGTGTCTACATGCTCGAGTGTGCTTGTGTGGAGATACCTTTTATGTTGAATGTTTGTTTTGCTTGGTACATATAATGTATTGCCTACAGATTTATATAATGCACAGTGATACGATTTGTATAAAAAAAATGGTTGAGTCGGCCCTTTTTTGGCGGGTCGGTTGGGTGAGGGCAAACAAACAATATTTTTATTATGGCCCAACTGTTTATGCCATACGGTCATTGGTGTTTTGACTGAAGGTAGAACTGTGGCCTCCAGCCACAGCTCCTTTCATCTGGCTAGTGTATGCTGATATCATTTACCTGTTGCTGTGCAATAAGAAGTATAAAACATTTATAGATGTATAAAGTATATATATAGTCTGCGTATCACGGTCCGGGCCATACTTGACGAGCCATATGTTTATCTGCTGCAGGATTCATAATAGGTGGTGACAGTGCAGAGGAAAGCCTTGGGCCGTCACCGAACCCTGGCCAAATTGGGCCTTCACCTTTGGGTAGTGACAGTGCGTTGAATGGCCCAGGCATGTTAGGTGCACCACGCCCGAAGATGCCCCCTGGAGTCCACCTGCCACTACCCATGGACCGACCGATGCCACCCCCATTCATGATGTGAGTACTTTCGTAGGATAGCACCATTCCATTTCGGTTTAGTTATGCCATCGTCAGTCTACCCTATGAAACTCGCATATTTGGGAAATAATAGCATGTTTTCGACATTTGTATATGTGTGAAACCAACTAATAATAAGGTAGCCACACACTATAATAAGATAGCAACATCCGCTTAGACTACAATATGGTTTCCACTTTTAATTTTCAGGCAGAGATTTCCTCCACCTCGTCCTCCACAATTTATGCGCCCACCACCCTCGATGGGACGGCGCACGCCCAATCTGCCCTACGAGGATCATAGGTCTATAGGGGGTAGGCGATCCCCGTCCCCCAGAGGAAGGCGGTCAATATCACCCAGAGGGAGACGGTCCCCCTCCCCAGTGAGGAGTCGGCGATCTTACTCACCCAGACAGAGGTCCATATCGCCAAGAGGAAGGTCCTTCTCCCCCAGAGAGAGGTCAATATCACCAAGAGGAAGGTCCCTTTCTCCAGGGCGATCCGACTACCCACGAGGAAGATCGCCGTCCCCAAGAGGGTGGTCCCCCTCCCCCAAAGGAAGGTCATCGTCTCCGCATCACAGTCGACGATCATCCTCACCTCAAAGGAGAAGGTCGCCGTCACCAGAGAGATATATGCCCAGGAGGTCTCATTCTCCAGGTAGCCAGTCTCCATCCCCTCCCCCATACAGGGATGAAAGAAGTCCCAAAGGCACGTTGCCTTACAGGCACCCAGGTAAGCAGATAGCATGTTGCAATGCATACTTGTAAATGGTGAATTCAGATTAAGATCCGATTTATTTGTCGGCTGAAAACATGCATGTATTGCGTCGAAGCTGCGAAAAGTCTGTTTCCTTCTCACTATTTTAGATGCCCGATTGCGTTCTCCTCCCCCTCATCAGTTTGACCAGCGGTCACTCCCTTCTAGAGATATACGGTCACCTGCTGTTAGAGGACGACGGTCACCTCCAAACATGAGGTAAGACATGCGAGTGATCATGACTGCTGATTGCTTGCTAATCTATTCTGTCAGTTTAGTAAAATAAACACATTGCGTAGTGTGCTTTGCAGGTTTCGTCTGGTGATTGGGTAGCATGCGTTATATTTATTTACGACTGGTATCTCCTTTATTAATGCTGTGTACTGCATGTGTGTGGATCTTAGTCAGACTGAATGCATATCAGGAAGAATTAGCACTAGGTGTATGCATGTGAGTGGGAACGTGTGATAGAAATCCTTTGTACAATTATTTTGTTCAGATCACCCCCTATGGATAGATTATCCTATCCCTCTCATTTTGGAGCCTCTGCCCCTCATTTTCCTCCTGGCATAAATCGTCTACCACATCATATGCGAAATTTACGTGGTAAGTATGTTATAACAAATGGTCACTTTGCACTTGTTAGTTTTGTAGTACTTTCACTAATGCATGCGCTTTTACTTTACAAAAGTGAGTTTCTAGAGTTGAATGTTAGGTTAGTCTCGGTGGTTTTGCGGAAGGGGAGGGGCCTAAAACTAAAAGCTTGTGTCGTGGTAAACGTGAAATAAAGTAGGATTATTTCAATATTAAGAAGTGTAAATGTAGATTTGATGTGCAACTACCACGCTTACGTATGTACTGCGTGTGCACGCATGACTGCACAAAGGAAGTAATAGTTCGAATTTTACACAGTTTTCTTCTACAAAAGACAGAATGCAATGTCATTTAACCAAACTCATGGTGATGTTATCACTTGTATTGCAGATGATCCATCTCCCGTTCCAACTACATCCACTCCAAATGATTCACCTTCTCACGATCACCATTAGAGAAGCATCTTGCCAAGTATCGTTAGGAATCACTGACCCTAAAAGGAGAGTAAATGTGTACATAATAGTGGCAGTGGTATGGATGTCTGCTGCTACATAGATATCGTCATTATAATGATCACTTCATCCCACAATCACTGTTCACGTGGTCAATATTCAATATCAGTATAATTACTGTCATCGTCGTTATTAATTGACATTCGAGCTTGTGCTTCCATGCATCCAGCAGTAATCATTGCAGATGTAATTTTAAGTTGGGCGTGAGAGATAAGGAGAAAGCTAGCATCAGCTGCTTGGCTGTGATATGATAGCGTTGGCAGACCAGGCTACCAACTAGTGTGCTGTGCCCATTCAATGACTTTCTGATTTTGGTCCCCCTATCTACGCTGACACGTGCTTTGCATTGTTATAAATCGCTACGTGGTAAATATTAATCAAGTTATTTTAATAATGTAACATTTATGCACAAAGTAACCTTGTTTTAAATGTGTCAGTTCTTGCATGGTTATGTTTGACGTACTTCACAGGGTAATCATTGTTCATGTATGCGTCTGCGTTTACCCGCAGGCTTGCATCCCTATCAGCTGTTTGAATGTGTAGAACACAGTGCAGTCACGAAGTAATGTTGAAATAATTTCATCACTAGGTTTCATCAAAGTATTTTGGTTTCAATTTTACAAGCGTTTGCCTTTAGCATAACATGCTTATTGCCACATTGTAAATTTTGATGTTCCTAGCATGTGGTTGTATGAAATGAAGTTGTTGGTGCGGTTTATATCAGGTATCTAGCCATCTAGTCATGCTGCTGTTAAAATGACTAGTCTGTACAATTTCATAAATTAGGTTATAATAAACATTTATTAAAGTTAGCTGCAGTTATTTGTTTGGCCTGATGTAAAAGTTTAGGAATATTACATATCAACATTTCACTTTTTAAATATATTTATTCATCGATTTTGCATCACGAATAACATACACTGATGTTCGATGGAAAACCTAAAATCAAGCTTCAATACACCATGTCAGTTTGCCCTGAATCTAGGCATTAGCCACTGGTCAGAGGATGCACTTCAACATATAGTTGGCCAGAATTATCCAGTCGGTGATGAGCATTTAGCTCAAATACTCTTAGAGATGAGTCATAATAATCAGTATAAGTAAATACGTATTGGAATTAATGTTGAGAGCGTAGTTTTCCCAATAATCCACAAGCCAATAAATAATAGTTTCCAAAGAAAGTTTTAGAATTCAATGGCATCAATGTGCACCACATGTACACAGAAACATGGACTTTCTCTTATAATATATCGGTTTATATATAGGAGTTTCACTTGGTAAGTCTACAAATACAGTCCCTCTGGAGTGCCTTCATTCTTCCTGTACAAAACGTTCTCCTTGGACTTCTTAAAGTCTTCGTTTGTGACCTTCATCCTGCGCTCTCTCAACGCCATCAGTCCCGCCTCCGTGCATATTGCCTGTCATATATTAAAACAACATTAACATGCTGCTGAACTGCCTCCACACACTGCTACGCCACCTTCACATGTGCATTACACGAGCTTGCAACTGTCCTACCTCTCTGCCAATATGAATCGGCCCAATTATAATAAATGAACACTTTGTTAAAAATTTTAAACTATTGCTTTTAAGCTCTAGATGATACATTTTCACACCAATGTTCGTATTTACATTAATTTCTTGTAGCAGCATACATAATAACTTTATACACTATTGTAATGTAAATATATATAATAACAATAAAAATACTGATAATAAATAATGCTAAAATAAACTATAGCACAATAACACTACAATAATAATAAACTAATAAAAACGTTAATGAATGAGTGCAAATGTCTGACCTTGATATCAGCGCCGGAGAGGTCGTCCTTGGCCATCACGTACTCATCAAGTGTGACATCGGTTGACAGTGTCATGCGACTCGTGTGGATCATGAAGATGCGACGCTTAGTCTTCTCGTCCGGCAGCGGGAACTCTATCTTCCTGTCTATCCGGCCGGGCCGGATCAGTGCGGGGTCAAGCGTCTCTATCCTGCAGGAACAGAGAAAGCACTATTTATAACACTACACAATAAATAGTGCCACACAGAAATGATGCATTAGAGAAACAAAGAGAACTACCACTGCAGAATGCATAAACAAAGGGCACTACACACTAGTGGTGATGAGATTGAGTTTAAACTCAATGAGATGCTTGTCAGAAAAATTGAAGTTTTAATAAAATGCTGGTTGGAAAATGGAAGCTGTTTATAGAATAACAATAAACAATGACCACTGCTACATTACAATGCATAAACTAGCAAATAACGAATGTCAACGTAGTCGTGTGATAAATAATTATCGCAATTAAAGGGATCGTTTACTCTAGGTTCTAGGGTTATTTTCAGTTAATTTAGGTTAAAATTACGCTACATAAAAAGTTTCATGATTCAATCACCATTAGAAATATTATTAAAAAATGTTCTAAAACTAACGACTACAGTTTGATTACAACGACGGTGGCGTCACTCAAAGCGCACGATCTGATAAGTTGCGAAAAACCACTTTTCAGCCAAGGGCTACAGACCAAGGGTGTTTCTATTAATTTAAAAGCAAAAGGATTGTAATATCTTATAAACGACATATAGTTTCAGTTAAATTATGGATAATTTTGTCCTAAAATGAACATCGTTCGGTTAAATAGCATTTAGGTATGAATATAATTGCACCTTTGTAATTAGACCTCGGTCTGTAACTTGCAAAATAAATTGGCAAATGCGCCACTTTTTCAAGGTGGCAGCACGGTCGCGGGTGTCATGGTGCCGTTCAAATTTCGTAGCGTTGATGTGTAATTAATTATAACAATTAAATTAGGTATCTGGTAACAAATACGTGTGGGTATAGACGATTTGTTATACAGTAAGCACAGTTGTATGCAGTAAAATCCTAGAGTCTACTATCCCTTTAACTAATCACAATATGGTTTATGACTGTATGAAGGAAACATAGAGAATCACACACACGACCATAGAAAAATAAATGTTACAACTAGTTTAATTACCTGTTTGTTGCCATGATAACCTTAACATCGCCCTTCGAGTCAAAACCATCGAGCTGGTTGAGCAGCTCCAACATTGTTCGCTGGATCTCCCTCTCGCCGCCCGAATTCGACTCGTAGCGCTTCGTTCCGACCGCGTCGATCTCGTCTATGAAGACAATAGAGGGCGCATGCTCCTCAGCAACGCGGAACAGCTCGCGCACAAGCTTCGGCCCGTCGCCGAGGTACTTCTGGATGAGCTCGGAGCCGACGACTCTGAGGAAGGTAGCCGACGTCTGGTTGGCGACGGCCTTGGCGAGCAGCGTCTTACCGGTGCCCGGCGCTCCGTACAGTATAACACCCTTCGGTGGTTTGATGCCCATCTCCTCGTAGTACTCCGGATGCGTCAGCGGCAGTTCGACAGACTCCTGCAAGGGACCGGTAGGAGGGAATGTACACCATCGTGCATGTGTGAAGTATGATTGGCGACTACATCTCTTCTTCTACTGGTTCTTTTTCTTTCAGGTAAAGAGCGGGGATTATAGTGATTGTACTTAGCTCTGGGAAACTATAGTACCACAAAATGTTGCACATCATGTCCACAATCTTGTCTAATTACAAGTCAAGACATTACATGTTATTTTAGTTGTAAAAAAATGTTGCTTCAATTAAACTACAAATGTCGTTTTTTGTTCTTTCTCCTACCTGGCACAAGGCCTTGCCCCACATCTCACCACATTCTCCTCCCTGCTCGACACTCCTTCACCTACCACAGCCCTGCACATCATCGACTGTGACTAAGCATACGCACCTTAATCTCTTGAATCTGTAGGTCTAGCCCGCCGATATCTGCGTACGTTTCCTGCGGAGCCTTTTCCAGCTTCATGACAGCCACCATTGGGTCAGTGTCATCTGACAGCACTCCTACCACAGCATGCACCTGTTGATAACGCAGAGCCAGTCACACAAGCAACATGTCTCTGTTCTACATTGAATTTGTCGAGAAAGATTCAGAGAGCAAGCACAGATCTCGCAGAAGACTACTGCACCTCTGTAGATAGATAGGTGTTAGTTACCTTGTGATTAAGAAGCACAGAGCATCCAGGCTCTAGCTGATCTTTGTCAACGAATGAGAGAATGCTGACATAGTGCTCACTGCCGACCGAGGTTGACACGATCGCATGATTGTCATCAATGATCTCCTCGAGGCTTCCAACCGACATTGGGGTGCCTCGCAGGTCGTCTACCTTTGATCTTTCCTCCTAAACACATTAACAGAGCAAATGTACTATTCAGGAAAGTTTCAGACTGCAGTTCACTTCCCAAGTGTGGTTGAACTACTGTAAAACAAATGATATCCACAAAGCTTGAGAAAGACAAGTTTTCATGGAGGCATATGATAAAAAAAACATACCACATCTCTTTACTGGCAAATTTCTCGTACACATTACAAAGAAATTTCGATTATCGCATGAGATGTTTTAAAAATGTGCAAAACATTACACAAACTATTTGCAATCAAAGCAAAAATGAGTATAAAAATGATGATTGTTGATGAAAAAGATTTGCTAATGCTACAGTACTACCAAAAATAACTAATGAGCTCTATTCCTAAATGTAGACAGGTATCCAATACATTTTACCACACAGCCAAAAGCATAATGGAAGAGTGCATAGATGACATAACATACCTCCTGCCTTTCATCCTGGGGTTTCAGTCGCTCCTGGTTCCTAATGAATTCTTCCTCCATCAAGAGGTAATCTTTTATTCGCTCCATTTTCAGTAGCTTCAAGCGACATCTGGTGTGTGGTGTGACTGCAACATTTAATGCAATTCAATAAGGAAGTCACTTACTACTGCATTAACCTCAATGACATAGAGACCTATCTGTACAATGTTACACAGAACAACCATAAGGTAAATCTATTAAGTTTATAGTTTAATAATGTTATGAAAAATGCAATCATTGTAATTTAGCAAATTAGAATCCAAACATAAAAATAATGGAGATTGAAACACAGATAGGATCCCTGTTATACACACAAACACACATGCACCAACATGTACATCTAACAAACATTAAATTTCTCACATATACATACCCTGCGGAAGTTTGGTTGCAGCATCCGGACCCTTAATTCTCTTCTTCCTCTTGCCAACTCTAGTTGGAATTGGTGGTTCATACTTCTTCTTTTTATCCTTGAAAGAATAAAGTGTTGTACAATTAGACAATAATTGGTATTGTAGACAGAAATTTAGTACCGAGTTACCTTGATTGAGCTCCTCCACTTCTCCGGTAGATGACAATGAAACAACAGGCAACTAAATACTAGTAGTAGTAGTACTATTAAGATAAGGTTAAAAATACGGATAATGCCCAAATGATGACGACTCACCTTGTCATCCTTTTTATCACCTCCTTGACCACCTCCACCGGACTGGTTCTGTCCCTGAAGGAAAAATGTAGAATTGGCAAGTTTTAGTTTGTTCGTGTTAATCTGTTAATGTTATAAAACTACAAACTAGTGTTGGTGACGACGTATAGTCACGGTTCCCACAGACAACAATATATAAAACAATAACTATATATATATATATATATATATATATATTATATGGCTGTCGCAACAAAGGCTATAGACTAGTAGTAGCACTAGCAGTACTAGAGCCAAGAGGCTAGAGGTAGAGCTAGTGACGAGTGACGACGAAGATGAATCTGCAAATTGCTACCGTATGATTTTCAATGAATTGAAACAGCCATACATCGGAAATTTCAATGCTGTTTGATGAATTACAAATGATAACAATATGCTTTATGTTTGCATGTATACTAAAATAGTTGATAAAATCGTGCACTACTGACTACAATAGATATTTACCATTTAAGATGAAGAAATAGCAAATCTAATGCCGCTACCGATTGATCACTTGTTTAACTAGTTGTCATCCAGTCAGCGCCACCTGACGACGTGGATTTATAAGTTGGCGCTCGGAAAGTCATGTTGGCAAAAGTAAATATACAACTTTTTTACCTGAAGTACTGGGTGCAACACTCATATACAGAACATTTTATTGACATAATAGAATCTAACATAGTACTTGATACTACATTGGTAGTGCTCGTGCGCTTATTTTAGTATTTAATTCAACTTTACTAGTAATAGTATTCTATTACGAAGTTTTCTACGGACCCTATCCTCTCTAGTCCGCAAATGCAGACGTAAACTCCGCTTTGCTAATCTCGGATACACAGGTTTTGATTTTTTTATTATTATGCAAATTAGGTAGATTTGGCAATTTCACTGCATTCAGTGTCTGCCTACGGTCAACGATAACTCAAGAACCGTTTGACCCACATGTTTCAATGAATACAGTTGTTACTCCTATGGGAGAGATTTGAACTTCCTATATTGGAGCACGCAAGTCGACTACTTTCGAGTACCCACTTTTTGTCAAACATGAAAATGGCCATCTAAATTCATTCGATTTTGTTAAATTTTGGTATGTGAATGTGTAAGGCTAGCCCCAAAACAGTTGTTACTCCTATGGGAGAGATGACAAACGTCCTATTACGTTTATTTCGTCTAACTGGTCAACAACTCTACAATCATATATCTATATATGTGCAGCCTAAAAATAACTTTTTTTTTTACGAGACCTTTTTTTGATTTTGTATGAAAAAAGAGCTCTCGTAATTTTTTTTACAGGAGCTATTTTAGGCTTGGCCAGAGCTACTTTTTCATAGCATGATTTTGTAAAATTTTCATAATTTTGATGCACTGACTCTAATATCATTCATCAGCATTCAGCACTCAGCACAGTATCAGACTATATCAGTGCAAACAAATTACATTCGATCACATTTTTTTATCTAATTTCACTCGACTAAGAAATCAATCACATTCTTATTCAATTTCATTCAACAGACAGACATGCACTACACAGTACACACATAGTCAGGTAACATGACAAAGACAGTAAATCAAGAATTATAATTCATGGTAATGATGGTATGGTTATTTCAAGTTTCTTTTTTTTACTTCATTTCTTTCATCTTTCAACTTTCTTTTTACATCGACTGAGCAAGTTCAGAACTTCAGAGAGAGTTTTTTAGTTACTTTGGAGTATGTTAAAAAAACTTGATACTCGGTATCTAATGCCTGGTATGCCTTGCTCTTGGCAAGTTTTACTTTCGCTTTTCTCCCTCCCACAGTCCTGAAAAGTAATTTTACTTGTAACCATGAAGAATATTATTTTAAGTATAAATTATAAACGTTTAATACATGACCATCTCCCCTAAATCATGTAGACACCATCAGTTGAAATAAGCTTTTGCAAGTGGAATTTTCAAGAACAGACAAAATTCTGCCAAACATGGCTGTATGCAAAAAACAGATAACCGCTTATGCGAAGCTTGAACCAATCACGGTGCTCCATTTCAAACATAATGGTGCCCCACGATTTGTTGCTGTAATAACAGACCAAGTAAATACTAAGACTTAGTGAATGAATAGTGATATAATATAATGATATCTGATAAATAATAGTAGATAAAATAGATGGGCAGCCCCCACAAGATGCTCACCAGACTAATCAGAATAATCAGAATATGTACAAATTATGAATTCGGTCTTATGTTACAAAAGTGCCCAGTTTCAGAATTCTATGTTAATTGCTCTGGTAAGTAATGTGATGTTGTCGAGAGAATCTGCTCCTATATGTTCAACGGTTGATCATCACAAGCTAGTTTACAACTGTAACTTAGTGTAACTGTCACATAACACAGCCACTGAATAAAACTTTATGTGAACTTGTATTCATATTAGATTAGAGATTAGATTAAGCTAAGATTACATGATATTATAGACTATATACTAGTGTCTATTTCTGCTTCTAGTTATCAAAGAATTGGTAGTTGACTGACAGAGTGCATGGTCTGTTCTAGATGGGCTAGAGAAAGGAATTTCCTACGGTTAGTGAGGCTCGATCATAGGGTCTATGTCCCCCAGGGTACTGCCGGAACGTATCCTGGGTACGGTCCGGTATACCGGAACGTACCCTGGTCACTATTTGATATGGATAGGGTTAGGATTAGGGTTAGGGTTAGGATTAGGGTTAGGGTTAAGGGTTCGGTTAGGGAGTAGGCGTAGGCGACTCCGCTAACTCGTTAGTGGAGTAGGCGAGGTAACGGTCCGGCATATAATATAGTACCAGGGTACGTTCCGGTATTCGGACTGTACCAGGGTACGTTCCGGCAGTACCCTGGGGGACATAGACCCTCTCAGCGTTAGTGAGGCTGAGAGGGTCTATGTCCCCCAGGGTACTGCCGGAACGTACCCTGGTACTATCTAATATGTCGGACCGTACCTCACCTACTCCACTAACGGATCTAGGAGTCGCCTAAGCCTACTCCGCTAACCCTAACCCTAAACCATATCAAATAGTTACCAGGGTACGTTCGGCAGTACCCTGGGGGACATAGACCCCTAGAGCGTTAGTGAGGCTAGTAGATGCATTATGAGATCTGCAGTGCCAGTGAATTCTATATGTCCCTAAAATGGATAGTATACCATGCCTTCCTTACCAAAGCAGTGTATAATTTGTGAGACATAGATACGTATTGGCTTTACTTAATGCGTTTGCAAATAGCATTCCTTTGTGCAACCTGATGCCCTGCAAAAATACATTGCATGTAATGCAATACAAAACTGGGTGCTTGCATTGAAAGTGCACATGTATGTAGTAGATAACAACTGCAGTATTCTGATATGAGTTGTGTTCTTACAAACAGTACTTAAATATTCAGCAGCCACATAGAGGCAGAAATGAGGGTATTTCTGAAGACGACACTAGTGATGAATAGTAAATTCATGCGCATTGACAGGAGATTAATGTCCTACAATTGAATTTGCTGTATATTACATTACGTTTACTAGGAGTATCGATTCGTGCGTAATTGGCAATGCTTTTCTGTTGCTGCTGGGTAGCACACATACCGTAACTGATTTTATTATAGTCCCGAGTATAACGTTACATATTACCGGCTAAGTATGACCTTTGCAGTTTGTACCGATTCTGGATGTAAAAAGGCAATAAATTCAGATATATACGACGTACATATAAAATATCAAAAGTAAATTTTAATCCATTGAAGTGCCTGAAATAAAAATATAACCTGTATTTTACGTATCGATTAAATTGGTAGCTGGCCTTTGAAGCTAGCTTATGTTAAATATGCATGCAGTCCAAGGTGATTAAAACTGATGCAAAATTAAACCCTCTCTTTTGTCCCTTGCAGATATTTTGGCAGTTAGAAAGTATAGGCATGCATTACGATACGTCGATACGTATCATGACAGACAGACAAATATGTATCCCAATACTTTCGTAACAACGTCCATACTCAACGTAATATGAGTATATCAAACCATACAAATATATGCCAAATCATTTGTTGCAGCAATCTTCTCTATAATAATTCTTTGGCCCCTGATACATAAGTGGGTAGTAATAGTATTCTTATTTGTATGGAATGCCTTGCCAGCTAGTTATAGAGATTTGATTGTGTATCCTGTCCATGGCATCTGTGATGCTTGTAGTTAGAGTACAAGCAAGTATCCTTGGCATAAAAAGATTATATTTGTAGGATGGATGGCAACTGTAGTTCATAAAGAACATCTTCACCAGAACTTGCTGTAGTCCATAATCAATGCACTCCACTTCTATCTGAGTGTAGGTGAATGTAACTTCTGCTCAATTCCTCAAATTCCTATATTCCTCCATATTTTGCAGGATAACCTGCTATATTTTCTATATTTTTGTCCCCATCAAGTGGCTAAGGAGGTACGACAATGCTACAATACGTGTGTAGTCACGACATGCACCAGTCTGTCAATCGCACTCTTATTGTTTTGCAGTAAAATTTTGGGGGCAATTACAAGTGTGCCACATATATTAGGCCAGGTTTCTACGACAGCCAAGGATATTTACATTATAACAGAGTTTCTCCCTAGCTTTTTCATTATAGCATGGGGGTGCGCTGCCTTTACGGTCCTAGTTTTAGCATTTTTGTGCATTTTTATAGCAAATTTTAGCATGGCACCTATGATATTTAGAGTTGCGAGTGCATTTTAGGATGGCGGGGCTCGACGACAGCCTGGCGGGCCACCAGGCTATAAGTGCCCTTGGAGAACCCTGGATACTGAAACGGAGTTCATAAGATAGAAGAAAGAATTCATCTGTATTGTTTGTATCACGATACGGATGGTGCATATCGATTATCATATTGTGGGCCAATGTATGAGTGAATCGTCACACCCTATCATACATGTGCATTTGTATTTAGATTCTCGAGCACAATTCTTTTGTGTAAGTTACTATAGTGTTTGGCAATGACTATGACTCAATTTGATCAAACTAATCAAGAGCTAGCCAGAAGTGTTACTGAATGTAGACCTACAATGATTTTTCTTGTCATTACAACAGTTTAAGAACCATGCTATATGCATTATTTAGACTGTACTAATATGCAAAATGTAGCTAGCCTGTGGTTTCGCCTGTTCAGAAGAATATAAATACTAATGTTCATATTTGATCCTCTTTTGAGAGCTGTAAGGCTATAAACTAATGCTATTTTGCATTTTTACATCAAATAATTTAGCTTGCTCTACTGATTTGTTCTGCTATCTAAATCACACAGTTGGGTCTCCAATCTCAGGCAAGAATGCCCCAGCAACTTATCTTAATTCTATGATTGATATGGCTGTTTGTCCCAAATAACTATGTCTATAATAATCATTATAACATAATCATTACTTACAGTGATTACTCTTGCCTTGACATAACTAAGTAAATGATCAAAGTAAAGACAGACCCTAAATGAAACGGTGGCTGGCATGTCACCACGACTTAACCGAAGAATATTTAATTCATAACACTCACTTATCGCAACATTACATTTATTTTATAAACAGTTGATAAAAAGATCGGTTCGCCACTGCACTGGCACTGG